CAGCCCCCATTCTTCAATTTTAGAGAACATGAATTTGGTGTATCAGACATCTATGAGGTTGGGAATTTTATTTCCCTTATATTATTTGGAAGTCCTATATCATGCTCCCTGTATCAGAATCAGTCTTAGCCGGGCATGGTGGCACACACCTGTAACCCCAGCACTTGGGAGGCTGAGGCAGGGGATCGCTGTGAGTTCAAGAACAGCCTGGGTTACAAAGTAAGCTCAAGGCTGGCCTGAACTGCACAGCGAGACCCTGTCTCCAAAAGACAAAAAAAAAAAAAAAATCAGTCTTTGTCCCTTTGTATCTAGCTTATTTCACATAGCATTATGCTTTTAAGGCCCATCAATTGCAGCATGTATCAGAACTTCACTCAGCCAAATAATAGTCTTTACATAACACATAGTACTTGTGTTATTACTATTGTAGTTACTACTATTTATGTTATTACTATTGTAATAGTATTTACATAACACATTTCATTTATTCATTCACCTATTAGTGCACATTCAGGGTCATTTCTACCTTTTGGCTATTATGAATGCTGCTGCTAAGAACACTGACTGGGGTACAGGTACCTTCCGAGCACATTTTCAGCTCTTGTGGGCATCTGCCCCGAAGTAGAATTGCTAGAGCAGATGATTCTACGTTTAACTTTTTGAGAAAGCATAAAAATGTTTCCCAAAGTGGCTGCACTAGTTTGCACTCCCACAAGAACGTATATAAGGATTCTAATTTCTCCACATCTTTATCGACAATCATTCTGGTTTTTCTTACAGTAGCGGTTACAGTAGAAGTGAAGCAGTTTTGATAATCTTTCCCCAATGATTACTGATGTTGAGTATCTTTTTCATGTCTGTATTGCCATTTGTGTGTCTTTTCAGAAAAATCTCTAAGTCCTTTGCCCACTTTTAATTGGACTAGCTTGTAAGAGTTATATTTTCATTATACTAATCCTTTATCATACATATGACTTGAAAATACTTTCTGTCATTCTGTGAATTGTCTTTTCAGTTGCACAATGTTTTTAACTCTTGAAAACTAAACTGCTTCCATTACTATTATGTGTCTCAAAACAAACTTATAGATTTTTGTTTTTGAGTTCTTTGAGGGTTTTTTGTTTGGTTTAGTTTGGTTTGCTTTTTTGTTGGTTGTTTCTGAGACAGGGTCTCACTACGTAGTTCAGGCTGGCCTTGAACTCATTATGTAGCCCAACCTGGCCTCAAACTCAGTGATCCTCCTGCTTCAGGCTTGAGAGTGCCAGGGTTACAGGTATGGGCCATCATGCCCAGGACGATTTGTAAAATGTAATATTGTCCTCACCCTATAGATAAGAAAACTGAGATCCAATCAAAAATACTACCTTTGAGACCATGTTACGTGAAATAAATCACACAGAAAAAATTAAATATCACGTGGTTTCTTTTATATGAGAAACCCAGAATAAAAAAGAGCAAGATAAAAGATAAATAATAGGAAGTAGGATTTCTCACAAAGAGGAAGATTAAGAGATGGAGGGAGGGAGAAAAAGGAAAGGATAGGGGATGAAAAAAGAGACTTGGGATCTGTTGGGATCTGTAGGATCTGCCTCACCTCTACAAAAGGAATGTAAATATGTATTGCAAACATGTACAAAGAAAACAAAAGGGAAGGGGATCAAGCTAAGGGGGGATGGAGGAGAAGAAATTAAGATGTGTTACTTAGAAAAAAAAAATGTGTTACTTACACGCACCAACTTCCCACAAGGAATGTAAACATGTACTACACAGATGTAGTAATAAACAAACTTCAGCAAAACTAGCACTCTGCCTGCCACATAATGGGTACTCAAAAACTTTTAGTGGTTATTGCTGGCTTTGTTACTGCTTCAGAAATAGTTATTTAAAAATCTATGAAAAGAAGCTGGACATGGTGACACACACCTTTACTCCCAACACTTGGGAGGCTGAGGCAGGAGGATCGCTGAGAGTTCAAGGCCAGCATGGTCTACAAAGTGAGCTCGAGGCCAGTCTGAACTGCATAGTTAAACCCTGTCTCAAAAGAACAAAAAATAAAAATCTATAAAAAGTAACAGAAGCTGCTCTAAAAGTGGACAGATCCGCGGAAAAGTGAAAAGCCAGGAGCCCACAGAGCTCACTAGCTGAGCTAGAGACGAAAAACTACAGTGGCGCTGCACACACGAATTTCCAGCCTCCAAACCACGCGACTCTCCACCCGACGCTCTATCCGCATCGGGAGCCCGAGGCCGCCGCTTCCTCCCCGCCCCCTGCCGGCCGCTGCAGGCCAGCGCATGCGCCTTGGGAGCATTTGCGTGCCATTTGCTCCGCCGGGCGCGCGCACCCCGCTTCCGGCGCAGAGGTGAGATTCCGCCGGCCCTGGCTGTAGTGATGATGTCAGCTCCGGTTGCCGTGTTGAGTCGGAAGTGGGAACCCTTTGGCCCCTGAGACTGTCGTGTCGTCGCTGCTGGCCCTTCAGGCCCTGGTAAGAGAGGAGGCAGCTCGAGGGCAGGGGATTGTTGCGTGAGAAACGGGAATTTTTCTCCTAATCGAATGTCAGTGCAGCCGTCTGCGCTCTTGCGTTCTCCGAATTCGTTTTCGTGCGCGTTCCTGACCCCAGACCCTCTCCTTCGCGAACTTCGACCCCGCCTGGTTTGGAAACCCTCACAGCGCTCCGGTTTCTCCTGCCTGCATTTGTCCTCCCCGCTTGCCTGTGTTCCTTCAGAAAAAGACTAGAGCAATGACCCTATTTTTTGACTGCCTTTCTCTTAAAAATCAACCGGGGAGGTGCGTCTCCCTCCTTCCCACGAATCCCTTATAAACCTGGGGGGATTAAAATATCCAGAGTAGACGACGGATAGCCACGTGCCCGGAAGCCAAATGATGCAGAGTAATCAAACGAGTTGAGTGCACATGGCAAGATGTTGACATTTCTTGAGCCAAGTAATGGGCCCATCACTCATAACTCTTGGCAGTCTGCTTTATGTGTCCTTGGATTTAGAAGACACTTCTAAAATTGAGTGACTGCCGCTCAACAGCCTCAGTCTAATGAGTGTTCCCCTAAGTGTCAGTTTCTTGCTCCCAGAGCAAGAGGGTTTAATGTCACTGACCTTGACCATTTTGACCCCACAGGGGCACCCATCTGAGATAAAATGGGACCCCAGAAGGCATGCTGCGTGCTTGTTTACTTGATGAAGTCCTAGATGTATTGAAAGGATTTGTTGCTGCATTTGCACGCTATGAAGGTGTTGCTGGGTGGGACATGTTACACAGAAAGCGTTTTTTGTTTTTTGTTTTTTTAATTCCTGTTTAGAGCTGGGCATGGTGGCGCACACCTGTAATCCCAGCACTTGGGAGGCTGAAGCAGGAGGATCGTTGCAAGTTCGAGACCAGCCTGGGCTACAAAGTGAGCTCAAGGCCAACCTGAACTGCATAGCAAGACCCTGTCTCAAAAAAAAAAAAAAAAAAAAAAAAAAGAAATTTCTGTCTTTATTTGATGTGTGTATTACCAGGACAAAGACCTTACAGAGTGTAATTTAATACAGCTTGGTTTATTTACTTTTATTTATTTATTTACATATATGTGTGTGTGATGCTGGGGATTGAACACAAAGCCTCATGTATGTAAGTGCTCTGTCACCGAGATACATAGAGCTTGATTTTAACAATCTTAAGTTTTTACAGAGTGTTTCAGACTTTTCTTTTTTTGAGACAAGGTCCTACTATATAGTTCAGGCTAGCCTTGAACTCACTATGTAGCCCAGGCTGGCCTCAAATTTGCGACAATCCTCTTGCCTCAACCTCCTGAGTGCTGGGATTACAAAAGTGCGCTATCACGCCATATCCAGCATATTGTGCTGGATTTGGTGGCACACACATACAATCCTAGCGCTCAGGAAGACCACTGCAAGTTCAAGTCCAGCCTGGGCAGCATAGTACATTCAAAGCCAACGTGAACTACATAGTAAGACCCTGTGTCAAAAAAGAAAAAGAAATAGGACATTGTTAGCAAGGTTTGGTGGTACACACGTGTAATCCTAGCATATGGGAGGGTAAGACAGGAGGACTTCCATGAGTTTAAAGCCAACCTGGGCTACATAGTGAGTTCAGGGCCAGCCTGACCTATATAGCAAGACCTGTCTGGGAAAAAAAAAAAGTAATCTTAGTACTCTGGGAAGCTGCAGCAGGAGGACCACAAGTTTAAGTTCAACCTGGATAACTTAGTGAGACCTTATCTCAATTTTTTTGGGGGGAGACAGGGGGGCTCTTTTTGAGACAGGGTCTCAATATGCAGTTCAGGCTGGCCTTGAACTCACTTTGTAGGCCAGGCTGGTCTCAAACTCACAACAACCCTCCTGCCTCAGCCTCCCGAGTGCTGGGATTGCAGGCATGCACCACCATGCCCAGCTTATGTTTGCTTTCAGAAGACCAGATTCACATGCTCATTCCTGGACGTGGTGGGTGAGCTCAACCCTTTCTGAATACATAGAATTAATTCATGGAATTAATACCCAGAAGAAAAATTGAGGGTGTCATGTTAAAAAAGAGGATGGCATTTTGGAGGCAAAAAACAAGAGCTCATTGCACTTTTTGCATTCCTCTGTAATGTACCTCAGGATTAGAGGAATGGTGGTGGTCAACTAACAGACAGTTTGTGGTGTCTCCAACTGAATTAGAGATGATAATTAAGCTTGTGTAATGATTACAATCTTCTCAAGGTTTGTTTTCAATTCCAGCACTAAATCTTTTTTTTCTGGCACCAAGCTCAACTAAAGTATACATAGCAAAAAATAAAATAGAGCAAGATCTGATAGTTCAGTTTTTTGAAGCCCTGTACTGTGCTGAAAAGACACTAGGTTTTCTGCCTAAGTTGTCACAGCTAATTAGCTATTAGCTCTTATGCAGAAAAATGGCAAAACATATAAAGCAACTGGGGAGATGCCTGAACATTTTTTTTTGGTTTTTCTCCGATACCGGGAACTGAACTCACGACCTTG